AATGTGGCATCAGGATTTGAGGAAGTCTCATTAACAACCTGCCATGTGCAGATGATACAACCTTGCTTGCTGAAAGTGAAGAGGACTTAAAATATTTACTGATGAATATCAAAGAGCACAGCCTTCGGTATGGATTACATCTCAATGTAAAGAAAACAAAATTCCTCACCACTGGACCGATAAACAACATTCCTATGAATGGAGAAAAGATTGAAGTTGTCAAGGACTTCATTCTTCTCGGATCAACTATCAACACTCACGGAAGCAATCAGTCAGAAAATCAAACGACGTATTGCATTGGGCAAATCTGCTGCACAAGACCTTTTTAAAGTGTTGAAGAACAAAGATGTCAGCTTGAGGACTAAGGTGCACATGACCCAAGCCATAGTATTTTCAATAATCTCATATGCATGCGATGGCTGGACAGTGAATAAGGAAGACCGTAGAATAATTGATACTTTTGAGTTAAGGTGTTGGAGGAGAATATTGAAAGTGCCATGGGCTGCCAAAAGAACCAATAGATCTGTTTTGGAAGAAGTGCAGCCACAGTGCTTCTTGGAAACCAGGATAGCCAAACTTCGTCTCTCATACTTTGGACATATTGTCAGGAGGGACCAGTCACTGGAGAAGGATATCATGTTTGGTAAGGTGGAAGGTCAGAGAAAAGGGGGAGGCCCCCCAACAAGATGGATTGGCCAAGTGGCAGCATCAATGGACTCAAGCGTGGCAATAGTAGTGAGGTTGGCCCAGGATGGGGCAGTGTTTCGTTCTGCTGTGCATAGGGTTGCTATGAGTCGGTACCGACTCGATGGCACCTAACAACAACAACATAGGCAAAATATTGAATGACACATAAACATCAAAAGAAGATGGAAGGAATACACATTCACTGTATGAAAAGAAATCGCTGACCTTCAACCATTTCAGGAGGTAGCGTATAATCAGGAACCAATGATAGTAAAGGAACAAGTCTAAGGGGCACTGAAAGCATTGGTGGAAAACAAGACTTCGTGAATTGATAGACTACAAACTGAGACATTTCAATAAATGGAGGCAGTGCTGGAAGTACTCGCTCATTAATGCCAAGAAATTTGGAAGGTAGCTAGCTGGCCATCCAGCTAAAAGAGATTCATATTTGTCCCCATTCCAAAAAAGTGACCAAGAAAATGCAGAAATTATCAATGTTAGCATTAATATCACATGCAAGTAAAATTTTTTAAATGGTTGCAGCAGTATATCAACAAGGAGCTGCCAAAATTTCAAGCCAGAATCAAAGGAGGACATGAAATTAGGAAAATCATTGCTGATATCAGATGAGTTTTGGCTGAGCACAGAGAATACCAAAAGATGTTTACCTGTATTTTATTGAGTATGCAAAGACTTTCGACTGTATGGGTCATGACAAGTTATGGTTAACATTGCAAAAAAAAATAGAGAATTCCAAAACACTTCCAAATGATAGTCATTCAGGAAGAACAATTGGATTCTGTGTGGTATAAAATCAGGAGAGGTGTGTGTGTCAGAGTTGTGTTCTTTCACCGAACTTACTCGGTCACTATGCTGAGCAAATAATGCAAGAAACTGGACTAGATGAAGAACTCCACATCAGGGTTGGAGAAACATGACATAATTTTACTTGCTGAAAGTGAAGAGGTCTTGAATCACTTTTTATGGGTTATACCTTAACATAAAACAAAACAAAAACTGCTCACAACTGTGCTAATAAGCAACATCGTGATAAGTGAGAAAACATTGAAGTTGTCAGGATTTTATTTTACGTGGATCCACCGTCAGACGCATGGAAGTACAGGCGTCAGGGAATGAAACAGCATATTGGATTGGGCAAACCTGCAAAAGACCTCTCTAAGTGTCAGAAAGCAGAGTTGTCACTTTGAGGAGTAAGGTGCACCTGACCAAAGCCATGGTATTTCCAGTTCTCTGTGTATGAAGACAGTGAAGACGGAGGACCCATGGAAGATTGAAGCATTTGAATTGTGGTGGTGGTGAATTATACTGAGTGTGCCATGAATTGCTGTCCACCACTCCTCTGTCAGTTTGTTGTACTGTGTTAGCATGCATGTTGCTGTGATACTGAAGCTATGGCCACCAGTATTTTAAATATCAGCAGGATACACCCAGGGTGGACACATTTCAGTTGAGCTTCCAGACTAAGACAGGAAGAGGAGAGGCAGACTTCTTCTGAATATTTAGTCCCTGAAAATATTATGAATAGCAGTGGAACACTGTCAGCATTAGAATATTGAAACATGATGAAGAACACCAGAATATTATCAGATATAGTGCCAGATGATAAGCCCCTCAGGTTAGAAGGCAATCAAAATACAACTGGGGAAAAGCTGCCTCCTTAAAGTAGAGTTGACCAGGATAACGCAAATGGAGCAAAGCTTTCAAGACCTTCATTTGCTGATGGGGCACAACTCAAAATGAGGACCAGCTGGAAACATCCATTAATAATCTGACCATTAAATGTGCAAAGTATGAATCTAGGAAAATTGGAAGTTGTCTCAAATGAACAGCAAAGCATAAATATTGATATCCTTGGCATCAGTGAGCTAAACTGGACTGGTATTGGCCATTTTTAATCTGACGGTCACGTGGTTTACTATGGCCAATGACAAATTGAAGAGGAATGGCATAGCACTCATCATTAAAAAGAATGCTTCTGGTTTGAATGGGTAAAAGATGTAAAATAATGTTAAGATGTTTAGGTGTCGTTTGAATCTTTATTTCCCTTGCCTGGTGGTGGTGGTTATGTGCCTACTATTGTAAAATAGACACTTGACGGGGAGAGAAAGGAATAGCCAGAAACATCACCATAGAAAGCTTGTAAGTGCATCTTCAGCTTATAACTGATTGGAATCCCTAAAATGGGACTAGAACTTACCCAGTGAAGGACGATTCCTGTGGAGCCTTTGCCTTACATAAGACCATAGGTGGAATCCTGATCCGCATCCAGAATCTTCTGTGGTGGGAAATTTCCACTTGAAAGGATAAGCAGACCAACCTGGAGCGGCTGGAAGAACAGAAGATACTTCTTGAAAGAAAGACCGACAGGAAAAATAAAAAACAACAACGGCAGTCTGATTGATTACTACAAGAACAAGCAAATTGTTTGCAGGGGAGCCATCAAGGCAAGCGGTCGGGTCCACTCAGGGCAAACCCCCTTCCAAGACTGAGACTCAAGGGGAAATACAAGCAGGCATGTGGTCTTGCTGGTGATCATATTGGTCACTGATAAGGGGAAGTGGGGGGAAAACAGCAATGAAGTTGTGAGCTAAGTCTGACCACATTCAATAGACTCCTGTCAAATTGGATTGAGACCTGGTGTATAGTGAGACCTGGGGACTCCTGAGCCCAGAGACATAACCACAGAGGACTGGAATGGAGAGTGAAGTGTCAGCTGATAAGAAGTGAGGGGAGATGCACAGGAACACCCATACTTTCAGATAGTACCCATTTGACCTGGCTTCAATGACTGGATGATCAGAACTCGACTAGATGAAGAAAGAAGAGGAAAAAAAGAGTAGTCCGCTACAATTTGATGAACTTGACCTATACTTATGGATGTATTTGCTCTAAAGAAGGAACAAGTCTTTATAGCAAGATCATTCCCACCCTCTTGGTACACAGGGTTGGTAGGGATGGGCAACTTAGACATTGGCTACCCAAAATGAGAGGGGCTACAAAGGCATGAAGTGACTGACTTACAAGCTTTCAAGAGGGAGCCTAGTTCCAGAGGGTGCGGAGGAAGGTAGTAGACTCTCTACTGAGAGGTTTCCAACCTAACTGGACAGGGCTGGTGAAAGGAGATGGAGATAAGACTCTTGTGGTTCAATAGTGAATAATTGCCATCAGGGCTGACTGTGAGAGTTGCAAATGTAAAGATAGATGTTTTGTAACAAAAGGAAGGGAGGGGTTGATCTTGAAGTCCAGGAGCAGAGGACCCTGGGACCATACAGGGAGAAGAGCAGAGTGCCAGGACCCTATCCAGTCTTGCGGGGTGTACCCTTTGATTGTTTGAATGGTTATATATTCCTGAGTGCTTTGGTATACATCCAAAAACAAAAACAGAGGGAATGGAAGCAAATGCTGTTGAATGATGGTGCGTGGAGGGGATTGTAGTGCAATGAAACGAAATACAAGAGGATGAATGTAAAGCTGATGTTCTCCCATGTAAACTGTCGCTCAATTCACAATATAAACTAAAAAACAAAAGGAAAGCTTCAAGATCTGTCTTGAAGTACAATACTGTCTGTGATGGGATAATATCCATAAGCCTACAAGGAAGACCAGTTAATACCACAATTTCAAAAATTTACACACCAACCACTAAAGCCAGTAATGATGAAACTGAAGAATTCTGCCAACTTCTTCAGTCTGAAATTGATCAGGCTTGCAATCAAGATATATTGACAACTACAGGTGATTGGAATGCAAATGTTAGAAACAAAAAAGAAGGATCATTAGTTGGAAAATATGACTTTGGTGACAGAAATGATGCTGTCTGAGATCGCGTGATAGAACTTTATAAGACCAATGACGACTTTGTTGCAAATACCGTTTTTAAACAACATAAAAGATTACTATACACATGGACCTCACCAGACGGAATACACAGAAATCAAATTGACTACATCTGTGGAAAGAGATGGTGGAAAAGCTCCATATCATCAGCCAAAACAAGGCCAGGGACCACTGTGAAACAGACCATCAATTGCTCATATGAAAGTTGAAGCTGAGGAAAATTAAAACAAGTCCACAAGTATCATAATAGGATCTTGACTGTATTCTACCAGAATTTAGAGGTCATCTCAAGAACAGATTTGATGCATTAGGTACTAATGACCAAAGACCAGAGGAGTCGTGGGATGACATCAAGAACATCATACAGGAAGAAAGCAAAAGGTCATTAAGAAGACAAGAAATAAGGAAAAAACAAAAATGAATGTCAGAAGAGACTCTGAAACTTAACTCTCCAGTTTTGTTGTTGCGATGTTATTGTTGTTGTTAACTGCCATCTAGTGGGTTCCACAACTCATAGTGACCCTGTCTACAACAGAACAAAACTCTGCCTGGGCCTGAGCCATCCTCACAATTGTTGCGACACTTGATCCCATTGTTGCTGACATTGTGCCAGTCCACCTTGTTGAGGGTCTCCCTCTTTTTTGCTGACCCTCCACTTTACCAAGGACAATGTCCTTCTCTAGGGACTGGTCCCTCTTGAGAATAGATCCGAAGTATGAGAGACGAAGTCTGGCCGGTGTCAAGATGCTAAAGTAAATGGAAGAAATGAGGTAAAAGTGCTGACCAGAAATTTTCAAAGGACAGCTCAAGAAAGTAAAGTCAAGTATTAAAAATGAAATGTGCAAAGATCTGTAGTTAGAAAACCAAAAGGTAACACACTCAGCATTTCTCAAATTGAAAGAACTGAAGAAGAAATTTGAGCCTAGACTTGCAATATTGAAGGATTCTATGGGCAAAAGCACAAGGTAAGCTATTCAAGCCTACCAGCCACCCCTCAGAACCGCTGTCCAGGGTCACTGATTTGGAACTGACTTGACAGTGCTTAAGGACAAACACAGGCAAAATACTGAATGATACAGAAAGCATCAAAAAAAAGATGGAAGGAGCACACACAGGTACTGTACCAAAAAGAAATGGATGATGGTCAACCATTACAAGAGATAGCATATGAGCCTGAGTCAATGGTAGTAAAGGAAGAAGTCCAAGGTACACTGAAGGTGTTGACAGAGAACAGGGCTCCAGGAATTGATGGAATACAAATGGAAATATGTCAACAAACTGATGGAGCACTGGAGGCACTCACTCATCTATGGCAAGACATTTGGAAGAGAGCTCCCTGACCAACTGATGAAAAGAGATGGATTTTTGTGCTCGTTCCAAAGAACGGTAAGCCACTGGAATGCGGAAATCATCAGGCAGAATCACTAACGGCATAATAAAGTAACATTTTGCTAAAGAGAATTTTAAAAGGGCTGCAACAGTACATTGACAATGACCTGCCCGAGGTTCAAGCTAGATTCCAGCAGGATGTGGAACAAGGGATATGTATCACTGTTGACGTCAGATGAATCTTGGCTGAAAGCAGAGACTCCCAGAAGAATGTTTACCTGTGCCTTATTGACTAGGCAAAGGCTTTCGACTGCGGATTATGACAAACATTGCAGAGAGTGAGTATTCCAGAATACTTAATTGTACTCATGAGGAACTTGTTCATAGGCCAAGAAGCAAATGTTGGAGCTGAACAAGAGGACACTGAATGGTTGAAAATTAGGAAAGGTGTGCTCTATGGTTGTATTCTTTCACCATATTTAATTTGTGGAGTTCTAGAGTCCTGGTGTGACATTGTAGGTTAATGTGGCTCACGCTCACCAGCTGCTCCTTAGAAAGCCTATCTAGGGTCACAATGAGTCAGAACTGACTCGACGACACTTAACAACAAAAACAGCTCAATCTGTGCGTTGAACAAATAATCCAAGAATCTAGATGACATGAAGAAGAATGTGGTACCAAGATTGGAGGAAGAGTCATTAACAACCTTTGATGTGCAGATGACACAACTTTGCTTGCTGAAAGTAAAGAACACTTACTGATGAAGGTCACAGACCACTGCCTTCAGTATGGGTTGCACCTCAATATGAAGAAAACAAAAATCCTCACCACTGGACCAATAAATACATCATTATAAATGGAGAAAAGATTTCATTTTGCTTGGATCCACCATAAACACGCATTGGAAGCAGCAGTCAAGAAATCAGACGACATTGCATTAGGCAAATCTGCCTCACAAGACCTTGTTAAAGTGTTCAAGAGCAAAGATGTCAGCTTGAGAACTAAGGTGTGCCTCCCCCAAGCCATGGTGTTTTCGGTAGATTTATATGCTTGTGAACGTTGGACAGTGAATAAGGAGACCTGTAGAAGAACTGATGCATTTGAGTTCTGGCATTGGACTAGAAGAACAACCAAATGTAAACTGGAAGAAGAACAGCCCAAATGGCGAGCCTTCATCTCTCATATTACGAACTTATTACTAGGACGGACCAGTCCTTGGAGAAGGACATCATGCTTGGTAAAGTGAAGTGTCAGCGAAAAAGAGGAGACCCCCAATGGGGTGGATTGGCACAGTGGCAGCAACAAGGGGCTCAAGCTTAACAATTGTGAGGATGGTACAGGACCGGGCAGAGCCTCATTCTGTTGGGTGTAAAATCACTTTCAATCAGAACCAACTCATAAGCAGCTAATAGCAACAACAGCAATGGATTGGTGCAGGATAAGCACTGGACTGCTAACCACAAGGTTAGCTGTTCAAACCCACCAACCATCCCTTGGAAACCCTATACCAGGTCACTGTGAGTCAGAACTGATTCAGTGGCACTTCACAATAACAATGGTTTGCAAGAAAGGGCAAACCTATCCTGACAGAAGTGCAGCCAGGATGCTTCTTAGAAGTGAGGATGGAGAGACTCGTTTCCCTTACTTTGATAATTCTCAGGAGGGATCTGCCCCTGGAGGAGGACATCCAGTTTGGTAAAGTTAGAAGGTCAGGAAAAAGCAAGACCCTCAGTGAGATTGGTGGATACAGTGGCGGCAACAATGGTTCAGACATAGCAAGGATTATGGAGATGGTGCTGAACTGAGCCGTGTTTTTGTTCAGTTGTACATAGGGTAGCTATGAATAGGAACCAACTTTACTGCCCCTAACAGCAGTATAACAAACCTCTGGAGAAAGACTGATCTATTAAGACATGCTGCTGAGGAGACAGTTGGTATCTCCTTGGGAAAAATATATTTTGACTTTTACCTCACACCATACACAAAACTCAAATCAGATACATTACAGAATTGAAGTGGGGAGGTGAGTTTTAAGATAACATTGTCAAGTACACCATACCCACAACTCAAATCAGATACATTACAGAATTGAAGTGGGGGGTGGTGAGTTTTCGGATAACATTGTCAAGTAAGAAATTGGCAGGGTTTTGTACACAAATTCGTGTGGGACTAAGAACTCAGTTTGGCTGCTTGTCTCAGGTTTTTGAAACTGGCTGAGCAGTTCAGTGCTCTTTGTCCTTCTACAGTAGAAGCTTCATAAAGAGGAAGCCCGCCAACAAAATGGATTGGAACAGTGGCAGCAGCAGTGGGCTCAAATGTAGCACTGATTGTGAGCTTGGCCCAGGACCGGACAGTGTTTCACTCTGTTGTGCATAGGGTCATAGGAGTTGGTACCGACTCGATGGCACCTAACAGCAACAACAACTTAACAAAAAACCTCACGCATATTGCCAACTCATAGTGACACTGGAGACCCAGTTGAATTGCCCCATAGGGTTTGGTTTTTTCATTATTTGGGTTTCTTTTACATTGAAATTTTATTTCTGTATTCCTTTAATCTTACTTAGTATTTTTATTTCTAACACATATTTATACCCTCCACCTAGAATCCTTGTGTGGCACTGTGGGAAAGCGCAGGACTGCTAACCTCTAGGTCAGCAGTTCAAACCCACCAGATGCTCCCTGGGGACCCTATACAGGGTCACTGTAAGTCGGAACCTACTTGAAGGCACTGAATAGCAGCACCCTCCAGCCAGTGACCTGCCCTCCTTTCCTCTGCCACTCAATAATGAGTCTAGGAAACATGACATGGATAAACCTGGCAGCGTCAATGCGCTTAAGCATTGCAACAATTATGAGGTTGACCCAGGATCAGGCAGTGTTTCATTGTGTTGTACATAGGGTCACTCTGAGTCGGTATCGACTAGATGGCATCTTACAACAACAGGCTGCAAGTTTGAGAGTTCTTGTACACCTTCCTGCATTTCAAGCCAGCTGGCCACTTCACTCAGCCCTGGCCCATGGGCTCAGGAGTTCACATATCTCCCTAAACTTCAGTCCAGCCAGCCCTTCTGTTCTTTCTCTCATCTCACAGTTAGCAGGTGTCAGTGGAACATGGTCAAACTCAGTCCATATCTTCATTTTCCCCCACTTCCACTCACAAGTAAACCCAGGTGGTCACCAGAGAGCATACTAAACTGCTTATAGGTTCCGTTTTAGTTTCAGCCCTAGTAGGGGGTTTTCCGATAGGCTGACTTTTCCTGCCGTGAGGCCTCCAAAGCTTAAAATTCAAACAGTTTGGGGTTGTTTTTCTGCAGATCTTTCTTTCAATAAGAATTTTCTGGTCTCAGCAGTTTTGGGTTGATCTGCATGCCTTACTAGTGGAAATGTCCCATCTGAGAAGATTCTGGGTGGGGCTCAGGATTCCACCTAAGGCACATAACAAGCAGCCTATTTCCCGTGCAGATCCTAACTCCCCATTTAGCAAATCAGATCAGTTATAGGCTTTCTGTAATCATAATTCCCGATATTCATTTTTATCATGCATCAATGTCAATTTTACAGTAGTAAGCAGCAGAAACCAATATCCATGAGACAGTCAAACACATGAACATTTCCCCCCTCCTTTACCCATTCAGTCGATGTCTCTCTCCATGTTTCTACTCACAAAACACTGTCTTTCCAGAGTTGGGTATAAATCATTATTTACCTCTAGCCCATTTAGCCCATGCACACCTCCCTAAGTCTTCCCTGTCATCATTGTTCATCTGCCACCCCCTCTCTTCTTGTGTATTGCCCTCCCCGTCATCTGAGTTAAGATGTCTATCCCCTAACCTGTGAATTACTCTCCCTTCCCTGGTACCCATCAAAGAGTTTCTTTTTGTATGGAAACCTTTTCTGAAGCTTTTACAGTAATGGTCTCATACAATTTTTGTCCTTTAGTGATTGACTAATTTCACTCAGCATAATGTCCTCCAGGTTCATCCATGTTACGAGGTGTTTTGCAGATTCATCGTTACTCTTCAAGGTTGTGTAGTATTCCATTGTGTGTTTATACCAAACTTTGTTTATCCATTCTTCCATTGATGGGCACTTAGGCTCTCTCCATCTTTTTGCTAGTGTGAACAGTACTGCAGTGAACATGGGTGTGCATATATCTACTCATATTCTGGCTCTTATGTCTTGTGGATATATACCAAGTAGAGGGATTGCTGGGTCATAAGTTATTTCAATTTCCAACTTTCTGAGGAAGTACCATACAGTTTTTGAGAGTGGTTGAATCATTTAATAGTCCCACTAGCAATGTCGGAGGGTCCCAGTCTCTCCACACCCTTGCTGGCATTTGCTTTCTGAACTTCCCTGTTACTGCTGGTATGAGAAGTCGTCTCATTGTTGTTTCAATCTGTCTCACGGCCGCTCCTCAGAAACCCTATACAGGGTCTCTGAGTCGTAACTGACTCAATGGCACTTCACAGCAACCCCAATGACTAATGACTAGTGGGAGTCCTGATGGTGTGGCCATGTAGGGTAAGCACTTGACTGCAAGGTCGGTTTGAACTGCAAGGTTATTGATTCAAATTCACCAGCCACTCATTGGAAACCCTATACAGGGTCTCTGTGAGTTGAAACCGACTCGAGGGACTTACCAATAACAATGGCTCATGATCATAAGCATCTCTTCATATGTTTGTTGGCTTTTGAATGTCTTCCTTGGTGAAGTGTCTGTTCATGTTTTGCGCCCATTTTTAAATTTTGCTGTTTGTCTTTTTCTTATAGTTGTTGTTATTGTTGTTGTTAAGTGCTACCAAGTCAGTCCCAACTCATAACAACCCAGTATAGGGTTTCCGAGGAGTGTCTGGTGAGCTTGAACCACTGACCTTGCAATTCAAACTGACTTTGCAGTCCAGCGCCACACCAGGACTCCTTTCTTGTAGATGTGGTGTAATTTTCTATAAATTTTAGATATTAGTCCCTTGTCTGATACATCATTGCAAAAAAAAAAAAATTTGTTCCCAGTCTGTGGGCTCCCTTTAGCCTCTTTGGTGAGATCTTTTGATGCACGTAAGTTTTAATTTTTAGGAAGTTCCAGTCATCTATTTAAGGAGCTCTGGTAGCGTAGTGGTTACAAATCGGGCTGCGAACCGCAAGGTCAGCAGTTCGAAACTACCAGCTATTCCGCAGGAGAAAGATGAGGCTTTCTGCTCCCGTAAAGAAACCCTGTACAGGGTCACTATGAGTCAGAACCAACTCCACGGCACATCACAACAACAACAGTCATCTATTTGGAGTCCTGGTGTGGTGTTCTAGGATAGGCACTCCACCACAAGGTCAGTGTGAACCGCAAGGTCAGCAGTTAAAATTCACCAGTCGCTCCTCGGAAACCCTATAACGGGGTTGCTGTAGGTTGGAGCCAACTTGACAGCACTTAACAACAGCAAGTCATCTGTTTTGTCTTCTGCTGTTTGTGTGTTTGGCAGTGTTTGATAGTGTATGTATGTCATATATTAGAGCCCCTAATAGTGGTTACGAATCGGGCTGCGAACCTTAAGGTCAGTGGTTCGAAACTACCAGCTGCTCCATGGGAGAAAGATGAGGCTTTCTACTCCCATAAAGATTTACACCCTCGGAAACCCTGTACAGGGTCGCTATGGGTCGGAACCGACTCGATGGCACTTAACAACAACAACAACAAAGTTTGTCCCTATTTTTTCAATGATGACATTTATAGTTCTAGGTTTTACATGTAGGTCTTTAATCCATGTTGAGTTTGGTTTTGTTTATAGTGTTGAGATAGGGTCTTGTTTCATTCGTTTTGCAAGTCAGTTTCCAGTTTTGCGAGCACCATTTGTGGAAGAGACTGTCTCTTCCCATTTCATGTGTTTTGGCCCTTTGTCAAAGATCAGTTGTCTGTATTTGGATGGATTTACTTCTGAGTTCTCAATTCTGTTCCATTGATCTATGTGTCTTCCGTTGTACCAGTACGGGGCTGTTTTGATCACTGTGGCCATGCAGTGTATTTTGAGATTTGGGAGTGAGAGGCCTCCAACTTGTAAGATGACTGTTAGAATCTAAAAAGGGGATTGCATGATGCCAGGCTCTAGTTTTTATGGAGGCAGACTCCACATCTTTTCTTCTTCAGAGCAACCAGTGGGTTCAAACCACAGATTTTTCTGTTAGTAGCTAAATGCTTAGCCACTGTACCAACAATGCTCCTTGAGGTGTATGAAAGAAGTGTAACTAATGGGTGCTACATCACACCCACCCTGGCAGCTGGCCTTAGAAAGGGATGGGGCATGATGTGGTCATGAGGAGTCAGGGACTGAGTTCATGACAAGAGTGCATGAAGGCTCCCATCGTGCATATTCATTGGAGTCCCAGTGACCAGGGGCTTCTGGGACCTTGGAGTTCGCTCTCGCTGGGGCTCTGGGATTGGTGAGAACAGCCGTTCTAGGAGAGAGTGTAGCCCGTCCCTGGAAACAGTGGGAGCCTTGTGCAGGCTCAGTCGTCTCTGATTGGATCCTTTCTAGTTATAGTAAATGGGAGCGTGTAAGCACTGGTAATGAGCTCCATGAATTTGCTGAGGCATCCTCGGGAATTACCAAGTCTACATGGCACTGAGCCAGCCGGTGTCGGCAGTACAGCTCCTGGGTGGTTGGGTGATGGAAAAAGACCCTTCTTGCTTGTGACTGGGAGTCTGGGTGTGTAGCCCTGTGGGTTAATACCCTGGACTGCAAGGTCAGTTTGAACCACGAGGTCGGAGGTCCAAGCTCAGCAACCCTTATACAGGGGAAACCCTATACAGGCAGGGTCACTATGCATCAGAATGGACTCTAAGGCTCCTAACAATAGCAACAACAGCTCGTGGCTGAGACTCAGGGGAGGAGAAAGAGGCAGACTGGCCTGAACTGCAGGCTGTTTTGCAGAGTGCTGGGCCTTCCCCAGCTCCCTGTAGTTTAGGATAGCCAGGAATGAGGTCTAAGAAAACACCACGTGAGGGGCTGGTGTCAGAGGTGGAGAGAAAGTAGGGACGTGAATTCTCTTCATATTTTGGAAATCAGCCTTGTGTTGGCAATTAATGTACTAGGACACAAACTAAATGTAAACAATGGATAAATTGGAAAGTGAAAAAGCAACCAGAATGGGAAAGATACTTAGATCCACCCGAGTGGGCTTCAGTGGTTTATGAAATGTTTGAAGCCTCCTCCGATATCTAATAAAGAGTTCATATATAAATATTACAATTAATTATTATATATTAACAAGAAAAATTGGTTGGTTATGTGCTGTGGAGTCAGTTCCGACTCATAGTGACCCTATACAGGGTTTCCAAGGCTATAAATCTTGCGGGAGCAGAAAGCCTCAACTTTCTCCCGCGGAATAACTGGTGGTTTTGAACTGCTGACCTTGGGGTTCACAGCCCGATTTGTAGCCACTACGCTACCAGAGTCCTGGTGTGGCACTGTGGGTTAATGTGCTAGACTGCGAAGTCCTTTGAACTGCAAGGTCGGTGGTTCAAGGTCACCGCTGCTCCTTGGAAACCCTATACATGGTCACTATGGGTCGGAATCAACTTAACAACAACAATAAGAAAAAAAAAACCCAATAGTAAAAAAGGGGAGTAAATAGAAGAGAAAGTATCCAAATGGGTAACTTACATGAAAATATACAGTTGTTTTCATCCTTGTTGTTGTCCAGTGCCATTGGTTAGTGCCACACCAGGACTCCAATTAAAATCAATGTGAATACCACAATGCACCCATCAAAATGGATCAAATGAAAGTAACAAGCCAAGTGGTGATGGGGGATGAGGAGGTGTGAATGGGTACAATCACAGTCATCCGGACGCTATCAAATTCTAAATTTGAATTCCAATTGATTTAATGATTAAATATATCACCTCATTTTTGCTACCTTGCCTTCTTTAATTCACAAGGAAGATTTTCAGGTATTGAAATTCTTAGTTGTTTTGTATGGTGCCTTTCATGTTGTTGTTTGACTATGTATTGTTGTTGTCAAGTGCCCTCAAGTCCATTCTGACCCATAGTGACCCTGTATAGGGTTTCCAAGGAGCAGCTAGTGAGCTTCAACCACCGACTTTGCAGTTCAAAGGACTTTGCAGTCTGGCACATTAACCCACAGCGCCACACCAGAACTCCTTGACTATGTAATGCATTGACTATGTATTGTTGTTGTTAAGTGCCATCGAGTCGGTTCCGACCCAAAGCGACCCTGTACAGGGTTTCCGAGAGTGTAAATCCTTACGGGAGTAGAAAGCCTCATCTTTCTCCCGCGGAGCAGCTGGTAGTTTCGAACCGCTG